GCATTACAAATGAGATTAAGGAAGAAATGTAAAACTACATGGATCAAATGAAAATGAACACACAACCCCAAATCTATGGGAAACAATGGAAGCACTCCTGAGAGGGACGTTCATAGCATTACAGACCTTCCTCAAGAAACACGAAAGAGCTCAATTAAACTAACCCTACAACTAAAAGAATTATAGAAGACAAGAAAAGTCCAGAGCAAGTAGAGAAAGGAAATAATTACCAGAATGGAAAAAAATGACATAGAGACTAGCCCGGCCGGTATGGCTCAGTGGTTGAGCATCAACCCCTGCACCAAGAGGTCGCCAGTACGATTCCCAGTCAGGGCACATGCCCAGGTTGTGGGCCCGATCCCCAGTGGAAGGCATGCAGGAGGTGGCCAATTGATGTTCTCTCTCATCGATGTTTCTGTCTCTCCTCCCTACCTCTCTCTCTAAAACCAATAAAAAGAAAATAAAATTTTAATTGACATAGAGACTAAAAAAACAATACAAAAGATCAATGAAACCATTGATTGAGCTGGTTCTTTGAAAACATAAACAAGATTGATGAACCTTTAGCCAGACTCATCAAGAAACAAAGAGATAAAATAAATAAAATCAGTAACAAGTGAGGTGAAGTAATAACTGATGCCACAGAAATACAAAAGATTGTAAGAAAGAACTATGAACAACTATATGCCAACCAAATGGAAAACCTAGGTGAAAGGGACAAATTCCTGGAAACATACTATCTACCAAAACTCAGTCAGGAAAAATCAGAAAACCTGAATAGGCATATAAGAACTCATGAAATTGAAGCAGTAATTAAAACAAAAAACTTTTATCAAACAAAAGTCCTCAACCAGATGGCATCACAAGCAAGTTATACCAGATATTCAAAGAGGAGCTAACACCTACCCTCCTCAAACTATTCCAGAGATTCTGGAGGAAGGAAGACTTTCAAGCTCTTTTTACAAAGCAAGCGTTATCCTAATTCCAAAACCAGATGAAGACACTACAAAGAAAGAAAATTACATGCCAGTATCTTTGTTGAATATAGATGCTAAAATCTTCAACAAATATAAGCAAATCGAATCCAGCAATACTTTATAAAAATCATACATTATGACCAGGTGGGGTTTATTCCTGGCATGCAAGGGTGGTACAATATTTGCAAATCAATAAATGTGATACACCACATAAACAAAATAAAGGATAAAAATCACATGATCATATCAATAGATGCAGTAAAAGCATTCAACAAAATCCACATCCATTTTTCTTTAATCCTCACCCAAGGATATTTTTCTATTTATCTTCAGATAAAGTGGGAGAGGAGAGAAAGAGAGAGAGAGAAACATTGATGTGAGAGAGACACATTGACTGGTTGCCTCCCGCATGACCCCGACCAGGGGCAAACTGCAACTGAGGTACGTGCCCTTGACGAGAATCAAACCCTCGACTCTTTGGTCCATGGGCCGACGCTCTAACCACTGAACAACCAGCCAGCACCACACCATTTTTTATAAAACTCAGCAGAGTGGAGTCATACTTAAACATAATAAATGCCGTATATCACAGACCTATAGCCAGCATCATTCTCAATGGGCAAAAATATAAAGCATTTCCCTTGAGACAAACAAGACAGGAATGTCTGCTTTCACCGCTCTTATTCAACATAGTACTGGAAGTCCTAGCCACAGTAATCAGATAAGAAGAAAAACTAAAAGGGTCCAGATTAGAAAGGAGGAAGTAAAACTGTCATGTACAGATGACATGATACTGTACATGGAAAAACCTAAAGACTTTACCAGAATACTACTAGATTTAATAAATGAATTTGGCAAAGTAGCTGGATACAAAATTAACATCAAGAAATCAATGGCATTTTTATAAGCCAATAACGAACTCTCAGAAAGAAAGTGAAAATAATCCCATTTATCTTTGCAACAAAATAATAAGAAACTTAGGAATAAACATAAGCAAGGAGGGAAAAGACCTGTACTTGGAAAACTGTAGGACATTGGAAAAAGAAATAGAGGAAGATACAAAGTAGTAGAATCATATACTATGTTCATGGATTGGAAGAATCAACATCATTAAAATGTTCGTGCTACCCAAAGCAATCTACATGTTCAGTGCAATCACTATTAAAATAGCATTGGCATAGTCTGGCCGGTGTGGTTCAGGGGATTGAGCATCATCCCATGGAATGAGAGGTCCCAGTTTAATTCCCGGTCAGGGCCCATGTCCAAGTTGTAGGCTCAATCCCCAGTAAGGAACATGCAGGAGGCAGCTGATCAATGTTTCTCTCTCACATTAATGTGTCTATCTCTTCTCTTAAAAAAAAAAAAAAATCAGTAAACATATTTTTAAATAGCATTGACATATTTCACAGATTTAGAAGAAATATTTCTAAAATTTATATGGAACCCAAAAAGACCCCGAATAGCCACAGCAATCTTGAGAAAAAAAGGAAGGATCACAATAACAGACACTACACTTTACTACAAAGCCATTGTAATCAAAACATTCTGGTACTGGCACAAGAACAGGCATGTAGATAAATGGAACAGAACAGAGACCCCGAAATCGACTCGTGCCATTATGGTCAATTACTTTTTGACAAATGAAGCAAGAGCATGCAATGGAGTAAAGACAGGCTATTCAGTAAATAGTGTTGGGAAAATTGCACAGATACATACAAAAAAAAATGAAATGACCACCGACTTACACCATACACAAGAACAAACTCAAAATGAAATCATTACTAGACCTAGGAGAAAATATAGGCAGTAAAATCTCAGGCATCTCACATAGCAGAATTTTCACTGATACGTCTCCTAGGGCAAGAGAAAGGAAAAAAATAAAAAGGAATTCATCAAACTAAAAAGCTTCTGCATGGCAAAAGAAACCATCAACAAAATGAAAAGGGAACCCATGGTATGGATGAACATATTCGCCAATAATACATCTGATCAAGGGTTAATTTCCAAAATATATAAAGAATTCATACAACTCAACAAAAGGCAAACTGTCTAATTTAAAAATTAGCAAAGGACCTGAATAGGCACTTCTCCAATGAGGACCTACAGATGACCAACAGACATATGAAAAGATGTGCAACATCACTAATCATCAGATGGAAATCAACAAACAGGTGCCTGTGAGGATATGGAGAAAAGGGTACCCTAGTACACTGTTGGTGGGAATGCTGTGGAAAACAGTATGGAGTCTCCTCAAAAAAGTTAAAAATGGAACTGCCATTTGACCCAGCAATCCCACTTCTGGGAATATATCCTAAAAATCCCAAAACTCCCATCAGAAAGAATATATGCAGTCCTATTTTTATAGCAGTGTTATTTACAATAGCTAAGCTTTGGAAACAGCCCAAGTGTCCATCAGTAGATAGATGAGTGGATAAAAAAAAGCTGTGGAACATTTACACAATGGAATACAGGGCAGACATAAAAAAGAAGGATATCTTAACTTTTGTGACAGCGTGGATGGACCTGGAGATTATTAAGCCAGTCAGAGAAAGACAAATGTCATGTAATCTCACTTATATGTGGAATCTAATGAACAAAATAAACTGATGAACAACATAGGTCTAGAGGCATGGGTGCATAAAAACAGACTGACAGAAATCAGCAGGGACAGGAAGAAATTAACCAGTGAACTTCTATACATATATGTATAGTCCAAGGACACAGACAATAGTGTGGTGAAGGTCTGGTGTGGGGTGGGAGCTGGGTAGAGGAGGATGTGGTGGGAAAATAGGGGACAATAATGTCAACAATAAAAAAAAATTTTTTAAAAAAGAATCTCCAATTTGGGATGCGATGAAAAAAGATACCTTGTCCTTGCTGGTTGAGTGTCATCCTATACACCAAAAGTTCCCTGATTCAATTCCCAGTCAGGGCGCATTGCCCTGTTGTGAGTTCGATCCTGGGTAGGGATGTGTGTGGGAGGCAGCCAATCAATATTTCTCTCTAAAAAGTCTATTTAAAAAAGAAAGTAGCCCTGGCCGGTTTGGCTCAGCGGTTAGAGCGTCGGCCTGCGGTCTGGAGAGACCCGGGTTCAGTTCCCGCTAAGGGCACGTACTTCGGTTGCAGTTTGTCCCCGGCCCTGGTTGGTCGTGCGGGTGGCAGCCACTCGATGTGTCCCTTCACGTCGATGTTAATCTCTCTCTCTCCCTTCCTCTCTCTCCCACCCACTCTATATCTGTACAAAAAAATATCCTCGGGTGAGGATAAAAAAAAAAAAAGAAGAAAGAAACCAGCCCTGGCCAGTTTGGCTCAGCGGTTGGAGTGTCGGCCTGCGGTCCAGAGAGACCCCAGTTCGGTTCCCCCTCAGGGCACGTACTTCAGTTGCAGTTTGTCCCCGGCCCTGGTTGGGTTGTGCGGGTGGCAGCCACTCAATGTCTCACTTTCATGTCGATGTTTCTCTCTCTCTCTCTTCCTCTCTTTCCTTCCCACTTTATCTGAACAAAAAATGGAAAAAATGTCCTCAGGTGAGGATAAAAAAATAAAAGGAAAGAAAGAAAGCAGATGTTTTGCTAATGAAACAAATTGACAGCATCCTTCTGAAGAGTAAATTGCCCATGTATATGAAACCTAAATTGTTCATACTATTAAACTCAGTAATCACACTGCTAGTCATTTATCATAAGGAAATCAGTTCAAAAGTAAAAATCAATATATGCATAAAGATTTTAATATTTATAACAAACCAAAAAAATCTTATTTAAATATATATCTAATCCGTATTTTCTGGTCACTGAGAAGTCCAAATATCAAATGTATGTAATAGTTTCATGGCAAGAGATTTTTTGGGGGGAGGCGGGAACCTATAAATTGTATATGTTGTAATTTTAGTTACAGTGTAAACTGTATAAAGGGGTATTACTTGGAGCATAAAAAGAAGTAAAATCATTTGTAAAATTTGGTTTAAAATAAAGTTTTAGTTGGATTTGAATTCAGCTTTAAAATAATGCTTGTCTTCTCTTTCAGGTGTTTTTGCCTGGCTTTCTGTCCAGCAATCTTTATTATAAATATTTGAATGATCTCATCCATTCAGTTCGAGGGGATGAATTTCTGGGAGGGAATGTCTCACTGACCGCTCATGGCTCTGTTGGTGCCCCTGACGACTCTCACCAAGGTGGTTCTGACAGCTCAGCCTCTCAGGTATTAACCGGGTTTGCCTTTGCCATTAGAAAGAAAGGTGTACAAATCCTTTTCTTTACATAACAGTAACAGATCCCATTTGTGAGTTTTAAGTTGTCGAAGAAACAAAGGCGAAATAAAATTAGCCTACTTACTACATATTTTAGTCAAAGTATTTATGTATATTATATTGTAAGGTATCCTGCTGTTTTCACTCGGCCCGTTTTGCTGCTTAACATTAGCTGTTGCTTTTAATAATCACATCATATGATATAAATTTAATAATCACATCATATGATATAAATTTATAGCCACTGAAGAGCTCTTTGTGCAGTGGTTTGGGAAATTTTAGTAACTATATTTGGGGTGCTATTTTGTAGAGTAATTGAGAGAACTGTTAACTGTATTTCACTGAAGAGCTCTTGATTTCATTTGAACTATAGTACTATTGTACACTTCCTAATCTTTTTTGGGTTTGGAGTGCTTTCATATATCAAACTGATTCTCCCCCACATCACATGAAGTGGGTTATCCTCAAGAGAGGACATCTAAGGAAGTATTAAGAAGTTAATTGAGCCCTGGCCGGTTTGGCTCAGCAGTTAGAGGGTTGGCCTGTGGACCAGTGAGTCTCAGGTTCAATTCCGGTCAAGGGCACGTACCTCAGTTGCGGTTTGTCCCAAGCCCTGGTCGGGTCGTACAGGAGGCAACCAGTTGATATGTCTCTCACATCAGTGTTTCTCTCTCTCTCCCTCCCTATCCCTCCCTCCCACTCTATTTGATGATAAATAGAAAAATATCCTCGGGTGAGGATTTCTTTTAAAAAGATGTTAATTGATTTTATGAAAGTCACACAGTAAGTGGTAGAGCCAGAACTATATTCCTGTCTGGTGTCCTTCACTGTAAGTTTAATAATATAGCATAATTAGTTTCTCATTACTGTTGACAAATAAATAAATAATACTTTGGATTTTGACACTGGGCCTTGGACAAATTTTCTTAAGTACTATTTTATTGCCATCAACAAGGCTCTTCTTGATACATTTTCCTCCTCTAAGGTTACATAGGCGCTAACCTGCTGGATGTGGTTGCTATTTTGTGTTGTTTTCTGTGTGTGTGTGTGTGTGTGTGTGTGTGTGTGTGTATACTGGAATGTTTGGAGTTTTTAGGCACTTTAAAGGTCTAGGTGCAGCCCTGGCCAGTTAGCCAAGTGGTTAGAGCATCATCCGCTAACCAGAGGGTTGTGGGTTTGATTCCCTGTCAAGGGCATGTACCTGGGTTGCAGGTTCGATCTCTGCCTTGGCCGAGGTTGCCCAAGAGACAACCAATCCATGTGTCTCTCAAACTTCAAAGTCTCTCTCTCTCCCTCTCCTCTTCTCTCCCTCTCTCTCCCTCCCTCCCTCCCTCCCTACTATTCTATCTAAAAATCAATTGAAAAATATCCTCAGATGAGGATTAACCAATAAATAAATAAAGGTCTAGGTACTACTATATTTTTACACTTTTGGTTGAAGTATAGTATACATACAGAAAACTCAGCATTATCATAACTAACTATATACAGCTTGAAGACTTTTCATAAACAGAACTTACCCATGTTACCAGCATCCAGATCAAGAAACAGGACTTTATCAGTATGTCAGAAACTCTCTTGTATCCCCTAGCCTCCCCTGCCAGGGTGGCTGCTATCCAACTGTTGATGGCATAGGTTAGTGATACCATTTCTTGTTATTTTATAATTGTATTATTTTTTCTTTCTTTTTGTTGCAGATTTATTGAGATATAATTCACATACCATACAATTCACCCATTTACATTGTATGATTCAGTGGTGTTTAGTATATTCATAGAGTTGCTTAACTGTCACCACAATTCATTTAGGAGCATTTTGTTTCACCCAAGAAAGAAATCCTGTATCCTTTAACTGTCACCCTCCAAATCTTCCATTCCTCCAGGCTACTGCTAATCTGCTCTCCGTCTCTACTGATTTGCTTATTCTGGATATTTCATATAAATGGAATCATATGACATACGGTCTTTTATGACTAGCTTCTTTTACTTAGATGATTTTTTTTTCTTAGCATAATATTTTGAAAGTTCATTCTTGTTTAGTATATAACAGAACTTTATTCCTTATTGCTAAATAATAGTCCATACCACATTTTGTTTATCCATCATTTTTTTTTTTTAATTTTTTTTTTTTATCCTCACCCGAGGATATTTTTCCATTTTTTTTGTACAGATAGAGTGGGAGGGAGAGAGAGGAAGGGAGAGAGAGAGAGAAACATCGACGTGAAGGGACACATCGAGTGGCTGCCACCCGCACGACCAACCAGGGCCGGGGACAAACTGCAACCGAAGTACGTGCCCTTAGCGGGAACCGAACCCGGGTCTCTCCGGACCGCAGGCTGACGCTCTAACCGCTGAGCCAAACTGGCCAGGGCTGTTTATCCATCATTTGATGGACATTTGGGTTCTTTCTTCCTTTGGCTATTATGAAAATGCTACTGTACATGTTTTTTGTGTGGATGGATATTTTCATTTCTCTTATGTATATACATAGGATAACTGTTTAACTCTGCCTTGATTATTGTTGCTTTGTAATAATTTTGGAAATCAGGAAGTAAAAGTTCTCTGACTTGGTTCTTCTTTTTCAAGATTGTTTTGACTATTTGGAGTCTCTTGAGTTTCCATTTGAATTTTAGGATCAGCTTGTCAGTTTCTCTGAAGAAGCCAGTTAGGATTTGATCGAGAGTGCATTGACTCCATAGATGAATTTGGGGGTATTGCCATCTTAATATTAAATCTTCTGGTGCATGATTATGGGATGTATTTTCATTTACTCACATCTTTTTAATTTCAATAATATTTTGTAGTTTTCAAGTGTAACTTTTGTATTTTTAAAAAATTCATTTTTAAATATTTTATTCTTTTGATGCGATTATAAGTAGAATTGTTTTCTTAATTTTATATTCAGGTTGTTTATTGTAAGTATATAGAAGTACACATAATTTTTTTGCAGTTGAGGCAAAATTCAGTTAACATAAACTTAACCATTATACAGTGTACAATTCAGTGACATTTTGTATATTTAAAAGTGTTATGCAGTCATCACTGCTATCTGGTTCCAGACGTTTTCATCATCCCAAATGGAAACCTCGTGCCCATTAGCAGTCACTTCCTTTGGCCACTTATGTTTTCTTCTGTTTTAGGCCTTTGATCCATTTTCAGTTAGTTTTGCATATTATGTGAGGTAGGGTCCAACTTTATTCTTTTGCATGTGGATATCCAGATGTCCCACCTTCGATTATTGAAAAAAATCTGTTCTTTCACTATTGAATGGTCTTAGTATCCTTGTTAAAAATCATTTGACTGCAGGTGTATGGGTGTATTTCTGGACTCTCACTTTTACTCTATATGTCTATTCTGTGTCAGTACTGCATTGTTTTGATTATTACAGCTTTATAAGTTTTTAAATCAGGAAGTATTTGTCTTCCAACTTTGTTTTTATCTTTTGCAAGATTGTTTTGGCTATTCTGGGTTCCTTGCAATTCCAAATATAAATTTTAGGATCAGCTTTTCCATTTTGATCAGGATTACACTGAATCTGTAGATTGCTTTGGGAGTATTGTCATCTTAACAATAGTACATCTTTCAGTCCATGAACATGGAATGCCATTCTTCTAATTTAAGCTGTCTTTAATTTCAATAATATTTGTTAGTTTTCAGTGTACAAGTCATACACCTTTTTGGATCAGTTTATTCTTAAGTATTATTTTCTTTTTGATGCTGTTACAAATAGAGTTGCTTTTTATTTTTTTCAATTACAGTTTATATTCAATATTATATTAGTTTTAGGTGTACAACATAGAAGTTATTTCAACCATGACTATTTTTTGACTACCAATTTGTACTTCTTAATTCCTTCACCTTTTTCACCCAGCAGAATTGTTGTTTTTTTTAAGTTAACATGCTGTTTATTTCTAGACTATATTATATCTGCCTACTTTTTCAACTTTAAATACTCTAAAGTTTGTTTGCTTGCTTGCTTGTTTTATATTGAGACCCTGAGTAACATTAAGTTGTGGTTATATTTGTCGGTTGCTTATCACTGAGAGGGTTCTTACTGAAAACTTTCTTCTGGGAGTTAATCAGGGCCAGGCAATTAAAGTTTTGCAGTTCAGTTTTTGTGCTTATGTTGTTTTCCCTGAATTTGTAAATATTTTTCTTAAAACTTTCCCTCAAGCTATTACTTCTTTATTTTTTTTTATTTTTTTTATCCTCACCCAAGGACATTTTTGCACTTATCTTCAGATAGAACAGGAGAAAGAGAGAGAGAAAGAGAGAGAGAGAGGAACATCGACGTGAGAGAGACACATAGAATGGTTGCCACCCACATGACCCCAACTGGGGCTGGGGACAAACTGCAACCGAAGTACATGCCCTTAGAGGAAACTGAACCCGGGACTCTCTGGTCTGCAGGCTGATGCTCTAACAGCTGAGCCAAACTGGCCAGGGCGCTATTACTTCTTTTGTTAATTGTATCACATTCTTCATTTCCAAAAATGTTTTTGATGTTTATTCCTTTTTTATTTTATTTTTATTTATTTTTTTTTTTGAGGTCTGGGAGAGCAAACCTTACATAGCTTCTTTGTCTAAAACCATTATGAGACATTGATTATATAAAATTATCTCATTTTTAATTCATTGATAATACATAGAAATAGAACTGCTTTTTGTGTTTGATATACCTTCAACTTTACTAAATTCATTTTCACTCTAATAGTTTTTTTTATGAATTATTTAGGATTTTCTATATACACAGTCATGTCATTTGCAAATAAGAAGTTTTCTTTCTATCCACTTTGGATGCATATTATTCTCTCTTCTTATCTAATTGCTCTGGCTAGAACTTCCAGTAGTGCTGAATAGAAATGGTGAAAGTAGGCATGTTTGTGTTGTTTCTGATCTCAGGGGGAAAGCTTTAAATTTTTCATCATTTAGTAAGATGTTAGCTGTGGATT